CATGGGCAAAATGGATGTCGACAAAGGAAAAAGGTCGCTTCGCGCGAAAAAATTCGCTAGAAAACCGAAGAAATAAACTGATCCCTAACCCAATCCCTAAGACCCTAACCTCCTACAGTAGTCCTAGCCTAGGACTAGCCTACTACAGTAGTTCTATTTCGTGACTGCGTGACATGAGAATGAAATCTCTATATAAGCTTCTATATTAAGCCATAAGTTGATAAGGCTGTTATTTTTCAACGTGCATGGCTTTGCATAAAAATTTCATATATGCATATTAGATCGAGGATTGACACACTTGACACTTGTCTTTGATAAGTTTTTAATTATTTGAACTTATTTAATCCGTTTCCGGCTGGTCGTAATTGAGTATATATATATATATGTAGAAAGGGAAAATCCCATCTCAGTCATGCATATATAATACGTAATATGATATATTATATGCATAAATTATATGTCTTCTTGATCTGGTTTCTGACTCTGATCATGCATATATACATGCAGCTATTTCAATTAAGTTGTCCACGAGCAAAGCGGAAAAGTCGAATACGAGCGCGTAAGGCTGCTGGGAATCGCTAAAAATTTAATGAATTTTCATATTGTCTTTTACTATTATTGATAACAACTGGTACCTGCCCGAATGACGGCAATGATCCGAATTTAAGAGTTTCCGTAGTTTGGATCAGAATCATGGCCAGAAAAAGATTTGACTCTTCTACGTTTTTTTGCGTGAAAACTTCACTGAGTCGTCTAGGAAATAAAACTCTGACGAAAGAACTGACTACCTAGAAGAGGAGACTTGAGATATCTCTATACTACCAAAATGCTAGATTGGTTGCTAAATAAAATGAAAACAAAAGTTTAATGGTTGATTGTTTGATTCGCGGGCACAGGCAACGAATCTAGTAACATACAATACCTCATGTGCTATTATGTTACGCCTCGGCATGCGCTGACATCATGATTAAATAGACACTACAGAATTAAGGTTTTTCAAGGTTGCATATATAAATACACAATTACAGATGAATTATGAAAGATTCCTTTCATATAAAAGTATTTTTGAATTGTTTCACTGACAAACGTTTAGACTTGATTTGTACAATGGACAATGCTTTTTTTATCTTGCAATGTTATCCATATCGCGATCTCATTATAACGTCATTTTGGTAAGTTTGAATTGTATAGTATAACATCTTGACTATATACATGACAGTATATATATAATATTTATATTTTACTTCGATTCGTGGTAGATTTCTATCTATCTATCTATCTATCTATCTATCTATCTATCTATCTATCTATCTATCTATCTATCTATCTATCTATCTATCTATCTATCTAACTATATATATATATATATATATATATATATATATATATATATATATATATATATATATATATATATATATATATATATATATATATATATATATATATATATACGAGTAGGTTTGTGTACACAAATTGTGTATACGAAACGCAAAGAGTGCTCAATATCATAAAGATAGAGCAAATGTAGAATTTCGCTTACCTCAAAATTCCGCAACAGTCTGTTTCATCAGTAAAGAATCATCGCCTGATGATTATATATATATATATATATATATATATATATATATATATATATATATATATATATATATATATATATATATATATATATATATATATATATATATATATATAGATAGATAGATAGATAGATAGATAGATAGATAGATAGATAGATAGATAGATAGATAGATAGATAGATAGATAGATAGATAGATAGATAGATAGATAGATAGATAGATAGATAGATTCTGCCATACCAATTTTATGTACATAGACGATTATATAATTATAAATGCCACAAAAACTCTTAATTATGTCATTTTATTTGAACAGACTAATAATAGCAGTACGATACGTAATTTGCATGGTGATGGTCACATGAAATTTAAGTCATTTATTTAACCAGTCTGTTGGTTACTAAGGTCTGAAGGTCATTGACAAAAGTACACCGAAATAGTTTTTTTGACATATATGATATAAACAAGGACTAAATGTGTCATTAAAATTGGATGGAAATTAATGAAATTATGCCGGAAATTACAAGAGTGTTATGAGGTAAGATCTTTACAAGTCGCATAAAACAAACGATCGAACTTTTACAATAATGCACTAAAAGGTATAGATACTATAGACAGAACGTGATCTTCGAATGGAGTCGAAAGGCTGCATTCTTGCACGTGCGAGTGGCATGCACATGCGCATGTTAACGCATTCTTGCACGTGCGAGTGGCATGCACACACGCATGTTGGTAAACTCTGACGTAACTCATAATTTGAGTCGCAGTGGTACTTGGATATGACCGGACACAGAATATCCAGGCAGAATTACTTTAATACTTCAAATCAATAATCACTGATCTGACAGGTCTGTACAGATCAGTTTTCATTAATCGATCCGAACGCCATGACGTAATTATTCTGAAAATAATTCCAATTGTAGTTAATTACGCTGACACTCTTTCAATTTTATTGTCCTTTGGTTTTTGCATTTTGATTGTTAATTTCAATATTCAATGCATGGGTAGATTTCGAAAATATCAAACCTATACTAAACTAAAGCGGCCAAAATTCAGATGAGTTCAGTTTGTAAACTAAATAACGCCTGTATTCTAAAAGCTCACTCACACTCAAAGAGTGGCAGTGGAGGTTCAATCTGAGCTTCCCTTTAGTGTCAGTGCTGTTTTTGAATAGCTGGAGGGTTAGTGTCGTACCGTACTATGTGACTACTCACCCTCCAGCTATTCAAAAACAGCCACTGACACTCAAGAGAAGCTCAGATTGAACCTCCACTCATTGAGTGTGAGTGAGCCTTTAGAACTGACAGGCGTAAGTGTCTTTGAAAATATCCCATGTAAGAGTCTTTGAAAATATCCTTTTGAAAGTAAGCACATGCGCTTATAAGCGGATATTTACAATTTTTCGAATACAAACACATTGATAACCTGACCCTCACCCAATTCCCCACCCTAACGGCTAACCCCTCCTAATCAGAGGCATCTAACCCCTGATGGGGCGTGTGTGAAAATGCAAGTTGCCAAGTGCGTAGCGAGCGTACCCAAACGAGGGAGGGTTTTCAATCGTCCAATACAAAGAACAACTATGGGGTTCGGCCGTCTGGGGATGGCTTCGGAAAAAGTTTCTGTTTTAGGGCGTCTGGGAAACGCCAATCCCCATGCATTTTAGACACGTTTTATGATATTCTGAAAGGACAGATTTGGTATATTTTATGTCATAGATGAAAGAATTACGAGATTACGCGCACCCCCCCATCTAGTTTCTCCTCAGTTGTGGAGACTATTACAAAATTGGTTTTGAAGAAAATTGGGGGCGGAGGGTCCGTCCATACCCCCATGTCAACGCCCACGCAAGTTGCAGCAAAAATAGACAAATTTGGCTAACGTTGTTTACATCGTTGCTAGCCAATTCACAACTTTCGATAACTCACATGCCTAGTGACTATTTATACATGCCTAGTGACTACAAATGTACCACTATAGGTATGGCCATTCGCTCATGTAGATATAAATTCTAATGATCAGTTTATACCTCAGTTACCTATGGGTCTGTAAACCTGAACTGAATAGTAACTAGGCACGTGAGTTACTGGTATCTGTCATCAGTTGTGAATTGGGTTCAATTACAGTAACGTTAACTAAATTTGTCCAGAATTTGTCTATAATTCGCTCGTATATCGGCGACAGTGAACAATTATGATCAACCCTATTGTTTTGTGAAGCCGGTTGCTAATGTTTTTGTTTACGGCCGATTCTGTGGGCAGGATAACTGAATCGCCTGCATATAAGCTGCGTGTGTGTATTATGTTGCAAAAGGCAGGGTATTTAGCTTAAAAATCAAGCCCTATTTGGGTATGAAAGCGCTAATTTTAGAAGTTTTATTTTGTAAACTTATTTTCCTATTGGGTTTCCGAAGAGTCTGGCCGCGCAAAAGTACTGGAACTACTCAAAATTATAAATCAACAAAGGTCAACAAAGATGTCCAAGAAAGTCAGGCGTTTACTAAAGAACATTAACTTTGCTGTTTTTGCTTAAAAATTTTACCATTCGGCTTGATTGCGCTGGGTATGAAGTATTCCTGTGCCAACAAGCTGAATATAGAGTCAATTGTGGCGGCAAATTCGCGTAACAGGTGAGCTAATTCGCGTCCTATGCTTGCGAAATATGTTGCCTAAATAATGGCGGTTTCTTAACGTTTGGAGCCTAAATGCATTCGCATTTAAATGTTTGTCTTCCGGCCTTAAAATATGTATTTTAATGATGTATTTTGGTGACAAGGAACCAAATTTTGAGACAGATTTTTGGAGTGCGTTTTGGGAAAACCCCTCTGCAAGGTGAACGCAAAAATTTGGAAACGGAGACGCCTTTAATATTATTACTACAATTAATATGTTTATACTTTCGACTCGCTTCAGCTGGTAGCTATAGGATTTATCGATCACGTTTGGACGTATTTTATACGTAGCTATTGTCTTCTAGATTTGGCTATAAGCCTATGTTTTGTTATAGTTTAGAGTAAATAAATCTAGTCGGTTCGTTCACTTTCGCTTTTAACGCGTCGTTGGATGATATTAAAGAACGGCTAACTGTTTTGAATTTCAAATATCTCAACAGGGTTCTTTGAATGAGTGCCTTATTGGCTTATTTGAATTTCAATATGTGTATAATATTTTAAATTCCTATTCCTGAAACCCACTCCATAAGGTTTTGTAAAGAAAATTCTATTGCTAGCCGTATGCAGTAGGATTATATATTTATTTCTCGTGGGAGCTTTGTCATATGAAGTCTTTACTTTCGACTTCCGTTTTGTTCTGGCACATACGTGTTATAAAGAAAATAGTTTCCTGTCACAAAGTAGAAGATGGTGTCCCTCAATTTCTTCCTAATTCACGACAAAATCATCCTCTGTTAACCAAAAAGTTCCAAGAAAAGAAGTTCCAAGAAAAGAAGTTTGATTCTAAATTCCCAGAGGGTATTGTTTTCTTAAATTCTAATTATTTCTTAGAAATACAATGCCTAATTTAGTATTCAGTTCGTCAAGAAATCTGGCACTGATGTTGTGGTTTAAGTGGCTTTATGTGCGTTCGGATGTTGCGTGTGTCTATGTATGTCGATTATAGTTCACATGTCCATATTTCTGCGAATTCTGAATGGCAGATATACGCATTAGAGAGAGCCAGTTTTCGACGAATATGGGCAAAGAAAAGATAATAAACAGACCGATATTTCTAAAGCTACTTCTGTTATCGTTCAAGTTGGATGAACTTGTATGTTACATGTATTTTGTCTTGGCTGGTGATTTGTGTATATGTACTGTATAGTACTGCTATATGTTCTCAGTAGTTCATCCGTGTAGTCTACCTTCTCACTAAGACAGATGGCTGGTCGTTGGTTAGGTAAGTGATCGTTGTTCATGGGCACCCATGTCAAATGTTAAGTACAAATTGTAAGTAAAATTGTAGTGATGTACCAATATGAAAATTTACAATATTCCGATATTAGATTCTGAGTTGTGGCCAATCATGCATTAATTTTGCATATACATTGATAATATCTTTGAGTATGGTTGCATATTGAGTTTACTAAGTTATGTTACATTTAATTGAAATCCATAATATATTGTAAATTTAAAAGAAGTTATATAACTTATTATTTGTAACTTATTATAATACAATATTGGTAATATCGGCAACAGAAATACAGATACCAATATTTTGAATTTGGGGCCGATATACCTATATCAGAGTGAGATATACGTTCTTGAGTGTGAGATATATCATAATTCCCAGACAGTGGTTATATATAACAATATATACATATATATATATATATATATATATATATATATATATATATATATATATATATATATATATATATATATATATATATATATATATATATATATATATATATATATATATATATATATATATATATATTAAGATGAAAATGTTCTAGAGTGTGTATTATATAATTTCCATACCCAGCGCAAGCAGAAAGATGTTGTCTGCCGCGGCTGGGTCTCGAACCCGCAACCTTCGAATTACTAGATCGACGCTCTACCTACTGAGCTACACGGTCAGATGGATTTAAGACTGGAAATTATGAAATATATAATGAATGTCATAAACATACTCTTTATATATATATATATATATATATATATATATATATATATATATATATATATACAATAACTACTAGAAAACATGATCTGTGTATAAAGCATTCAAAAAAGCTTTCATGTTGTTGGATTGTCTAATTTCAATTGACGAATTATACTTTCTATTGTAATTATTCAAGGTTAAAGTGTGTTAAAAATGTAAGATAAATCCTGAAATAGTTACAGTCTTACAGGATTAGAAACAAATTTTCCACTGCAGCGTATATGAATATTTTTGATGAAACTGTTCTGCTATAATTTAGGTATTTTTGAGTTAGTAGATTCATTTGGTATTCTAATTATTTTAATAATCGTGTATTTATTAATTTAGATATTCAATCAGTGCAATTGTCAGAATTAGTATGAAACATAAAATAATGTCTGTGAAAATTTTCTCCAAAAAATGTCATCCCCCCAAATTTCTGGGAACTGGGTTCCGATACTTACTCATTTTCCAATTGCAACCACAAATGGGCCACAATATTCCAAATGAGGTAAAATGCAGAGGGGAATTGATGCCATAAATGTGGCTACATTGCTTCAAAGCTTGTCACAGTAACCGCTAGAAACAGATCATACCTGTTGTTATGCAACTATTGAAATCCGCATAAAGATAATACGTTTCTGCCAACTGACTGTGCGTTGACAAGCCACAAGGTTTACTCAGCTTTTCAATCCATTATCACAGTTGGATTTTGCAACCCCCATAGTTTCATCTGTTGTTGTCATATGTGAATTTTCATTATTAATAGTTCCATGTATTGAAAATACAGTATGGAAATGGTGCCAGCTCAGCAATAAGGTTTTAAGGAAGTTAAGTTCTAATAAAAATCCAGGAATTGAATGTATTAAGGCAATATGGCATAGCCAGAATTCTCTGGAAATAGTTTCTGCTCACCTTGGAAATTTTATTGAAAGTTGAAATTTAAACTTCTGCTATAAACTCTAAATGAATCTAATTTAAATACTGATCGTGTCAGTGTAATGGCGCAAATCGTGATTTTCCAAGCTTACCGTTTGCGCTAATTATAGCCTATGGAAGGGAAGGTGAAACTCGTTAGTAATAATAACAATCAGCTTTATTACCACAAAATATAAAAGATTATTTACCTAGTTGATTAATGATTATTTAGTACGAATTCAGATAAACGTTACTCAGAATAACTTATAACAATATAACTCATAATCTATGTTAGTCTTGATTAATTAATGATTATTTAGTACGAATTTAGATAAACGTTACTAAGAATAACTTATAACAATATAACTCATTATCTATGTTAGTCACCGTCACGTGTGTATTGTATTTTTGCCAAATCCACCAATAGCAATTTCCAATTTACTCCGTTGTTCGAGTCACGGACAGGTAACTTTTTTAAACATTGCTATTGGTTAGTTGGGCAAAAATACAATACACACGTGACGGTGAAGGACCAGATTTATGAATAAACGTTCACTAACATAGATAATGAAGTAAAAAGCAAATTCCGAAAATGCAGGACATCTTGAGAATTCATTATATAATTCAAAACAAGACGCAGTTTGAGACTGTAAATTTTCGACTTTATTTCAAAGTCATCTTCAGACAGAATGAAATACAATACTTTACAACACATATATATATACAACGCAGAGAGAGAGCATCTGTCATGTGGGCGGAAAGAAGGATTATCCAAGCGAAGCGAAACATGATAGAGAAAATAGTAATAACTGAGAATGGATTATTTCGCTATATTTACAACAAAATATAGATAATATAGATAATGAGTTATTGTTAATATTGTTATTCTTCGACATGCTATGCACCAATAGTCGTCTAAAACCCAAGTTACCAAACATACACGTAACATGATATATTTGTGTTGTGTTATGTTCTAAAATGTATTAGTCATTCATGCCACATTATTTGCGGTGGAATAACACATTTAATTTTGTGTCACTATTTGTGTATATACTGTAATTTGATATGTGCTTGCGATCTGCGAGTACAAAGTATTCGTTGTCCGAAATACGCGCACTTCACGGAACATTTAAAAATACAATACTTTGCCTTTGGTCGTGAAATGACTGACATACTACCAGAGTACTAGTTTACACGCATAACACCTAGCGAACTTCGTAGCCACAGAATCGTTTAGCAAACAGTCCAAACTGTAAGAATGAAGAACTTTATTGTTTTCGATTACAGAATTCTTTGTTTGCACATGACATCACTACGTGTCATTAGGCGCCATCTTGGTTGATTTTAAAGTTTTGTCCAGCCGTTTATATCGGAATAGTTGAGTTACTTTAATATTTTTGGTTTGGTTTGAAAACATCTAACTTTCTCATATAACTTTCATTTATACGAGATTGTTACAGCGTAATAATAGCGTATATGAAGCCTGGTTTTTAAGCAGTTGCCTTCAAGCTTCGATAACGTAATTTCGAGCATAGGCAGATGACATCATTTGTGGCTATATAAAAAGAGAGAAGTAAAACCAATTTTCTAATTGCGTGGGTGGGATGGTTTGTGTGGGTTGTTCGGTGTTCCTCAGTTCGGTGTTGGTTGACCTTTTGGCTTTCGGCATAGTATCAAGTATCAAGATATAATTCTCCAGTCATTTCCCTTTATATAGAAACATGGACAGGATGTCTATGTCATATAAATGCTTGACTCGTACCACGAATAATGTTTCATGATTATAGTAAATTACTGCAATATCTTTAGTTTCTATTCCCTCGTCGAACGAAAAGGCATAGTTGTTATTTTTCAAATTTTTCCATTTGTGCCAAATTGTAATAAGTGCCAAGAATCCACATTTTTCACAGTGGCATGCCCAATTTGTGCTAAATTCATATCTGAATTCCGCAGTCGTTAAACATCCCAAATTTGTAGCATTCCAAGCTATTTTACAGATATTTGCCCGATATCATTTATGTTATTCGAATTATTTGGCTCTGCTTGACAACGTCGATGGCGATGCTGTAATATACAGTTAGCCGACAAACTACAGGTAACTGACACTAGTTTATAATATTAAGAACTTCGAAAACTAGATATGACAGCTCTAATTCTAATAGATTAGCAAGGTCAAGTACATATAAAACTTGCCAATATTTTCGAAATTGACAGCTTCTATGACTATGATAATAACTTTTTTGGGAAAAATTTCAACTTTAATATTATCCAGTCACACAACTCGACAACAAAATTGACAAAGACTTGTATGGCTGTGCTCTATAAAATGACTATAAAATTATATTAGTACCAGTACTTAGTCTTAGTAGGAAATTGCACTTGTTCTCGAAGACGAAGTATCAATGAAAAATCACACTTGTGTTTGGCGAAATATTTAAAAATATAATACCGCTCGTGCTACGCACTCGTGTATTTCATAGCTATGCCTATGTGCTAATTTTAATTCTAGTATATTCAAATTGTATTCGTTGTTATTCCCCTTCGTTTGAATGTAAATATTTGATCTGCAAGAGCGTCTCTGCTATAGACATAGTGATCAATTAGTGATAGATAGTATGAACACATGCCAATGTAATACCCGCGTTGCTATAGAAACTGCCACCTGTTTAATGCTGTGAAAATGACAAATCATCTGCAATGTTAATTACGAATACTAAAATATATAGCCTGTCTGTACTCTGTAGGCTTATGTTTAATTCCCACACTATAGTCACAAATAAGAACATTACGTGTTTTGTCTAATAATCGATTTTGTGGTGACTTCCCGCTACTAAAATTTAATGCGACGCTAATACATATATTTATTATATAGACTATAGTAGATATAACGAGCAATGAAAAATACTCGGGGAAAATACACCATTTCCCACCAATTGTATTGTGTTTACAATTGAGGTTTGTGAAAGTGACGAACGAAGACATTAAAGAATAAAGATTAAAGTCGTTTAGCAAGGAAAAAGAAAATGTAGATACAAATCGAAAAACGTTTTATGATATGAAGGTATTCCTTGAGTTTCTTGTCACTGAGTCTGAAAACGAGAGTGGAAAAATTAAGTAAATTAATCGTTTTAAAAATTAGTATGAATATAGTATGAATACCGCGTTTTGAACTTGTCATTTGAGTTATTCTAATTTTTGTCTTTGTTTTATATGACTATATAATAAAAAGAACATTGCACGGCGACGCGAAGATATGAAATAAAATCCCGCCGTGTGATATCCTCTGTATATATAAAGCAAGAAAGCAAAGAGCCGAAATTTTGTTCCTGACAATCGGCCAGTTTTCCACTCCATTGTCGGCGGCACTTATCATCAACCGCTGCTTATCACGTGGGCAAAACGTGGCAAAAACGATGCCAACATTGGCAACAACTTCGTGCGAAAAAAATCGACCGACTGAACGAATATTTTGAAAAACTATGGTTTCATGTTACTATTCTGACAAAAATTCAAAATGTGATTCGGATATGCAGAGTACGATGCCGATGGCAGATAGTCGATACAGTTAAATATTTTATTCACGGTAATGTTATATTTTGTTCGAAATTACGAGACGAAATTGTCATTGTACCTCGGATATATTCCAGGGGGTTACCCTATACGCAGGCTACGACCACATGTCAAAATTACAATATTGAAGTAAAATATATTCGGGATTCCCCTACCCCGGTAGGATTCCGCGCGTTATTGTTTAGCAACAACGCTATTTCTGTGCTAAACATTTTGAAAATAATAACTTTCAATGAACCTGTAAATAATAGTGCTTGTTATACGATGGGTTGTGTCGTTGTGTCGAGCTACTGCATTTAAATTACTGCTATCCATCCACGCATGTGGCATTACATCATGCTGACATATGATCTATGACGTAATTAATACTGCGCGTGTGAATTCCTCCTGACGCATGCAACTTCAAAAACAGCTAAGCAAAATTTATTTCTTTTGGTATGTGTATGCATAACCCATCGTGTGTGCTGAACAAGTAAGTTTGATTTTATTTCTATGTCAGAATTTAACTTTTGACTGGTATATTTTGCTTTCATTTTACTTGAAATTTCTTGCATTTACTTAAATTGAGCTATAGTTTTAACTTTTTAGCAATAAAACTTTAATCATTATAAATACTAGTATGTCATAGTATATGCATGTTGCAGGGTAGATTTTACCACTTGGCAAGTAGAATGGCGAGAGATAGAGAAAGTAAAATGCTAAATAGGATACATTGGGGTGCAATGCAACTTAATGGCTTAACAGGGCAAGTAGTTTGATAAACCCACTGAACGCCAGTACTCTGACCTTGACAAGTAAAATCGCAATTTCGCTGTGCAGTCGTGCAATCATGCTTGCCAAATGCTAATGCGGGAATTCATTCTCAAATTTCCGTTCAAACTGCATACAGTGAGCAATGAGAATTTTTTTGACCAAATGATAAACTTGTAAGACTGAAGAACAGTTTCATTCATTTGACATACATATCACAAGAGTATGGACACCATGATAGCGTTGTAATTATACTGATAAATCTATTTGATGACGTAACCTAGTGATGCATTCAACGTTTCAAGAATTCACCATATTTTTTGGTAGTCGTTTTTTCTGGGCGGATATCGGCTGATTGTAGACGACGATATTCTCTTTTTCACTCGCGAATATTGCGAAGCAACATCTGCGAGTCTCTGTGGTTACTTGAGTGCGGGGCAGTTAAACAGTGGGAAATGACCAGCCTGCTTTGCGTGCGCTGTTTGCCTGCGAATCTGGCCTTTCAGATCCAGAAACCGAGCTGGAGCACGACAAATGGCAAAATTCGCACGGTGCTCGTTTGCAAAAACAGCTGCGAACTGCTCTAATTCTTTCAGTCCCTTTCATTTGATCTCATCCGTGAGTCTGCCTCAACGGCCTTTGATTAATTAAGAGATTGCGAGCATATATAGCCACGAGCATGGCCTTGCGGGTGTTTCCGTTTGGGCGGAACCGATCACGTATCAAAATCACGTATATGCGATGAAAAAGGGGATGCATCTCGCATCCTGTCATTATTATCAGGCGAAGTGAACAAACTGTACAACGAATTTTTTTGATAAAATCTTGAATTGTCTTTGCCAGTGTAGGTATAGTGCCGATAGTATTGAGTAAAACTTCGGTTGATAGTGATTCAACTACCCAAACAAATACATGTCAAGGAAAGATTCGACGCTTCGAACCTTCGCCTTTCGTTGGTAAGTTAGTATATCCTTGTATTTGTCAGGTAGTTGCATCCCTATATCAACCGAAATTTTGAAAATGTTTGATACCGATATTTTCATGGACTAGTAGTCTGGTACGATGGGCCTTGTGCAGCGGGTTTCCGTCCAATCTCCAGGAATTTCAGTTACAATAGTGGACGTTCTATATGTTGTTTATATCATTATTACGCGAGTGTTCACCAAAAAATTTGAATCAATAGGATTAATTCCTCCTGAGATCGATAACATTTTTATATTTATCAACGTTTCGACTATATTTCAGTCATCATCTGAAATATAGTCGAAACGTAGATAAATATAAAAATGTTCTCGATCTTTGGAGTTACACTTGTTTTGTATTTTGTTAAAATAAAAATTCCTCCTGAGTTACAGCGTCTTGGATAATAAAAGTGCTGACGTCAGCATTATTTTCGAATGCCTTCAGAAACTGTGTTATACATAAAATTTAGTTAAAAATTATTGGTTAAGGTTACGACGGGACTTCAGACATACATTATCTGATATAAACAAGAATCTAAATATTTTGGCCCAAACTCACCTTTATTTTAGCATTTGATTTTTGGATAAATGCTTGGTGGTATAAAATGGCCAATTTTATACCACCAAGCGCTTATCCAAAAATCAAATACTAAATAAAGGCGAGTTTGAGCCAAAATGTTTAAATTCTTGTTTATATCATATACAAAGTCCCGTCTTAACCTTAACCAAGAATTTTAACTAAATTTTGTGTATAACACAGTTTCTGAAGGCGTTCGAAACCCTACGTTCGAAAATAATGCTGACGTCAGTACTTTTATTTTCCAAGACGCTGTAACTCAGGAGGAATTAATCCTATTGATTCAAAATTTTTGATGAACACTCGTAATAATGATATAAACAACATATAAAACGTCCAGTATTGTAACTGAAATTCCTGGAAATTGTATGGAAACCTGCATAAGGCCAATTGTATATATTTCACTCTTCTTTATTAAGGTCAACCTTCGTGCCAGAGGTTTTTCCACGTTCGCAGAGGGATCCCTCATTATCCCCCTGCGAGCGTGGAAGAAACTCTGGGACCCAGGGTTTGTCTAGGTTAGGGGAGGAAAATTTCCATTCGTTCGAAAGAGCTGACATCAGTGTATTTGTAGCTTTGAATTTTAAATCTATTTGCATGATGAGGTAGTCTTCTTTATATAGTAATACACCAACAATTTACCGATATTCTGATAATCACCTTATTGGCCAATAGCTAAATGCGAAAGCCGAAACTGATATTTTTGTTTTCAGTTATATAGACGGATTTGCTTATCACAACATCCAAGTGTTATGTCTACAAAATTTTCCCCCTTAACTGATATTTTCATTTTCATGTCGGTACTTCACTATATATAACCTTTTGAGCGTTAAATTCATTCAATTTTCTTCGCTGATAGAGTCTGTCTTTGCGTTTCTAGAATAATGCACTGTCTGCGAAAGCGTCCTGTGTAAATTGATATATAAACTTACGTGATGGATTTTGACCGATCTACATTGATTGAAGATGATTATACGCGGGATCTGTCTGAGAAGCATGAGCGTTTACTACAAGAGAAAAATGTTTTGGAGGAAAAAAAGCAGAAAGCTCACGAACTATGTAAGTGTTTATTTGATATTGAAGTGAAATTACAGTGCATAGGTATAGAATTTTAGGAATTGAAATTTGAAACTAATTAAAGTGTACTAGAGTGTATTAATACTGCATGAGTGAATACATCAGTTGTCAACTTGCATGTTAGACTAATTTTTTATCTAGGCCAAAAAAAGTAAATTCCCGTAAAGAACTTATTAAAATTAATTAGTAAAATTTCAAAATTCGTCGTTACGAAATGTAGTAAAATACGGAAAATATAGCCTTGCGAAGTTTGCATATTTTGTATATGTTTCTATTATACGTGCGGAAATTGTTACCATTTTTGAACCGAAAATAGTAACAATTTCCGCACGTAATACAAACATATACAAAATTTGCAAACTTTGCAAAACTATATTTCCCAAGCTTTACAACATTTCGGAACCAAATTTTGCAATTTTACTAATTTCATTATGTTCTTTTTAGCTGTGGTGTTTGATTCCCTTCTCTTTACTTAGATTAAAATTTAGTCTAACATGCAAGTTGTCCATTAATTACATCGAGCTTAGATGCTCTTTCTTAAATAGGATAAATATTTGCCATTGTTCACGCGTGGTTTACAAGGCAATAAACTTTATTTTAATTTTGTCTTGTTATTCAATCTCAGTCCAAAACTTGCAAGCCAAATCACAAGAAACGCGGCATTTGGAAGAAGAGCTTATACAACTGGCCAACCAGAACACGTCTTTCTCAGACAAATCTGGCGGATTAAGACATGTTGGCGGTACGGCTACTGGACCTAAT